TACCTCAATTTCCTTCTATGAAACATTAGAATTAATGTAGCTAGCAAGAGTTCACAGAAATAAGATTACAAAGTATTTTAATCAGCTTTTTCACTGCTGTGACTAAATGACCCAACCAGCACAACTGTAGAGGAGGAAGAGTTTATTTGAGGGTTCACGGTTTCAGAGGTCTTGGTCCATAGACGGCCGGCTCCATTCCTCGGGGCTCTAGGTGAGGCTGAACATCATGGTGCGAGGGAGTGGCCGAGAGAAGCAGCTCACATCACAGTGATTAGAAAGCAGAGAGACTCCCCTCACCCGACACAAATATATACCCAAGGCCACGCCCCCAAAGCCACTCCCCAATTCCCTACTCCTCCAGCCACATCCTATCACTTCAGTTACCAGTGTTAATCCTTATCAGAAGATTAAATCATTGATTAGGTTAAAGGCTCTTTCTTACAACCCAATCATTTCTCCTCTGAACTTTCTTACAATGTCTCACACATGAGCTTTTGGGGGACAGCTCACATTCAAATCATAACACAACACGCTCTACAAGAGGCCAAATCCAATATCTCAAGGTACAAGTGGCAACTGATAAAGGAATAAAACAGATTATATAACTGGTACTCAAGTATGTACACACCTATTCTGGATTTATAGGATGGCTTGCTTGTGCATTCAGATCCTCCAACATTTCCAATTCCAGGTTAAACAGTTCCATTCCAACACTACTCATTTCACCCACCTTCAAGCAGGAAGTAGCCAGAGCCGTCTCTGCCCCCTTATCAGTTAAGACATGTAGTGGAATTTGGACAGAAGGGAAATCGTAGCTGTCTGTGGTTTTCTTTGCAAGAAAAAGCCTATGCCTCCTTGAGCATGTAGCCCTCATTAATCATTTAAACTAGCTGCACAAGGTTGATTTACTGAAACTTCCCTAATCTTGCCCCACCCCTCCAAGGCTGGTGCAAATGAACAGATTACCAGCAGGTTTCATCAATTTCTTCCTAAAGATAAAAAAAGCTTAAAACCTGTGTTAACACGGTCCTTCAGAATTCTAGTTCACCGTCTTCTCCATCTTGCTGGCTTACCAAATCTTGCTCCTTACTCTAGCAACTTGTCCTGGATTTGTTAGGCCCTTTTTGAGCAGCAAATACAGACTTGGATTTGGCAACACAAGTGTTACTAATACCATCTCTATTTGGATTATAGGCCAAGAGTTCCAAATTAAACTGGGATCATTAGTCAAACTGAAGGCATATTGCCTAAGAAAAAAATAGTTGATTAGCTTAGCATTGCAAATTCAGTTATAAAGTGAGAATAAGCATCAAAGTGACAGAGAACCAAAAAGGGAGGTAAACCACAGGAATGTGATCAAGAAACAAGAATCCAGGATATATACTTAAATTTTATCTCAATGACCTCCCAAACTAGAGCACCATGAATGACTGATAATCCTGAATCATTAAAAAAACATTGATTTACCTGTGCATTTATTTAGAATATCCAATGTCCTCAGGGGCAAGCAAGATGGGGATATCAAAAGACGTACAATAAATATTTGTTTAATTTTGAGATTAAAGGAGTGATACAGTATTTACTGGCTTCTACCCTCAGGAGCTTACAATGAACTTGAAAGACAAAATTAATATAAAATAAAGTTAATTATTAAGTACTTTATTTTAGTATAGTATATTTGCCAAGTCAGGACAGCAGTAGGATTTACTTTATACATACTTCCATTCCAAAAGCTTGGAAAAATATATCAGTAATGTAAGATATAACTCTTGAATATCCAGAATAGTCTTCTGGATAATGCAAGCATAAATAAGTTATCTTCTTCACACAAATTATCCCCCCAAAGTAATTTATAACATGTAATTCTATCTCTAAAAAACAGTTACAATCCCTCTTAAATTGAATATGAATAAACATGTGAAAGGAGCACAAGTTTTAAAACTTCAATGCAAAATTTTAATACATTGGTTTTAACCATTATCCTTTCTTTTTTATTTTTAAATGCTACACATGGGCTGGATTGTAGGTTCCAAGAGTCATAACAACTATAGATCATTCTGTTGGTTAATAATTCATTAAAGTTCTTGAATCTCTGACTGTAAGGCAATAATTGGGAACTGATTTCAGAAACAGAATGCAAGTACTGAATTACAAATTCTACCAGGTCAGCTAAAGTAGGTGGAGAATTCACCTAAGATGGAAGAGTGAAGGTTTATTTTACCCATTTCAAGACTTCTCCACATATTTTGCCAGTTTGAAATAGGCTACGGGAGGGTGAGAATAGTTTAAAAGGTGTATTTCTTATTTTAATGTGTAAATACACATCCTTAAAGGTTAAGCCTATCTCTAACCTGTCATCAGTTCAGTGAAATACACTGCTTTCTTCTTAATCACTGGTGACTTCAGAACATGATTGTCCACTGAGGGGAACTAAAGCCTGAATACAAAGCAATTATGAAATGCAGGCAGCCAGAGGCCAGTAGGTGGGAGAGCAGAAGTACATACTCTGGCCGCACAAACTCTCCCAGCTTAAAAGCATCATATCTATAACTATCCTGAGTGCTACATTTCCTATATGTGCCGGGAATTATGAACACCTGATATATTCTGTTTCTGCATTTAGTAGACAATTTGTTCAATAATACTAACTTGACTTACACTTTACTTTCTCATATTCTGAACAGGGAAATCTAAGTTAAAAAAAAAAACAACAATTTGAAAGATAAATTAAGAATAATTTTTGGGCTGGGGATGTAAAGTGCTTGCCTTGCATGCACAAGGCCCTGGGTTCAATCCCAGCACCACAAAAAAAAAAAGAATTTTTAAGAGGCTGGGGTTGTGGCTCAGTGGTAGAGTGCTTGCCTAGCATGTGTGAGGCACTGGGTTCAATCCTAAGCACCACATAAAAAAATAAACAAATAAAATAATTTTTTTAAAACAAGAATAATTTTTAAGGAATCAGGAATCTTGATTTAGACCATAAAGGACTTAAAATACTGTTACTCTGAATTTATTAGTACATCTTAATCATTTTTTGCACCAATTTTCAACATAATTCTTAGATAATATTCCACTTTTAAAAAAAGCTATTAGAAAATTATGATAATTACTTTGGAATGCAATATTTAAAACATTTTGAAAAATGATAAATAAAAACATGAACCTAGTGACACTGAAATCTGCATTATTCCCAAAAGTTCAATGCAAAAAAGATGTTACCTGATATTTTACATTCAGTTCATATCTTTATCTCTACGCCCAGGCAAACACTCTGTTTCAAGACTATTGCTTTGTTTCTTGTAAAGACATTTAACTCATTGTTACTGAAAATATATTTAAAATATTTTATGATTACTTATGAGTAATTATTTATTACCTTTTATATTAGTCAGGGTTCTCTAGAGGAACAGAATCAACAGGAAGTATAATTTTAAAAGGGGGACTCATTAAGTTGGCTTACACAAACAGAAGCTGGATAGTCCACAATGGCTGTTTGCAGGCTGGAGAGCTGGAAGAACAAGTAGCTACACAGTCCAAGAAGCTGAAGCCACAGAACAAGAGGGATCAATGGTTCTATCCTAGTCTGAGATGGAAGACTTCTGGAAATTCCCTGGAGAATCACTGGTAGAGATCACTTTGGAAGAGTGAAAAAGCAAGAGAGATCCTCAGACATCACAGCAGCAATCAAGAACCCATTCAAGAAGAATGGAGTCTGCATCTACTGCTGCTTTCTTGTTCTTCCAACTTTCATTTCATCCAAGCCATCATCCTATTGGAAGGTGCTGCCCATGCTCATGGAGGGTCTCCATTTCAGTTGGCCATCCCACATGCCACTCATTCCTTGACACACCCTGATCAACACACTCTTTAATTCTTGCATCTCTTAATCCAATCAAGTTGACAATTCAAATTGGCCATTACACCTTTCTAAAATACTAGGGTAAGGATCATTGTTATATTCACAATACAAAAATGCTCATAATGTTAAGTTTCCTAAACTTCTTTTTTAATGTTTCACGTGTACTTTATTTCTTCAATATGCCATAGGTATAATAGGTACACAGTGCTTTTACTTGGCATCAATTATAAGTTGGCACAATTACTGATCTCTCCATTCCTTTGGGATGACTCAGCCAACAGGGGACAGGTTCCATTCTATTCCAATTTGTGTTACTATGTGTGTCCACACAGCAATACAGAAAAGTGGCTCCAATAGCTAATACCACATTACCATATTTGTCTGGAAATCAGGTGCTCTGTCTTGCCATTGTTTGCTGGATGTTCAAACTTGGAGACGATTTAGTGCGTTTTTGGCCACGAGAAACATCCAGGAACTGAAGAGAACTGTGGCAACTGAAGCTGCTGGTTTGGTACAAATTTGTTCCAGGTACCCTTGCAAAAGCTTGAATTATTTTTAAGTAACTCACTATACTGAGTTTTTGTAGGTTAAAAAAAACACTGCCTAAATTCATGAAATCCATGCAGCTCATTACTGTACCAGATATTAAAACCTTAAGGACTGGTCCTCATTACCGCTGGGAATTTCTACAAAATAAGCCACTTGCACCACATTTAAATTTACAGGTTATTTTGTCCAACTGTTCAACCAAGAGTAATACTGCTCTAAGAAATCAACTCTAAATTCATGTCTTTGTCTAATTGATACTATTTTTTCCAACCCATATAAAAAATTGATTGCCTAAACATATGCAAAACAATACAATGTTTAACTTTAGCAAATTTGCTAAAGTACTGACAATAAATCAATGTTCTGGAAATTCTTATTTTAGCAACTGTCTAGAAGTTAACTTCTAGAAAAATCAGCCTGATACAATGAAATCATTCATCATAATTATACAATATAATTTTTCCATTTTTGAGGCAAAACATAAATATTATGTCCTTTACAAAATGTCTATATACTAAAATTGATATGGCCTATAAAGGTAGCTAGTATAGATGATTCATACCCTTTAGATAAACCAATTGGGCACACATTGTTCTTTTCAAACATTTATATAAAGAAGGAAATCAACATTGGTAGCATCAGTAGGTTTGATTAGCAAGTGTCACCAGGTAGTATGATTGTCTTATCAATAGCTAAAGTATGACTTCATTCTAATCACCATTATAACTGAACAATCTCTAAATTATACCACAAGTTGTAACCCTCCATCCACTACTAGAACATGTCCTGTAATATATGGTGATTCTAAAAGAAACACAATTGCATGTGCCACCTCAATGGTTTCTCCAAACCTTCCAAGAGGAATGCTTTTCTTTAACTGTTCTTCTTTCAAGTCTTTCGTCATATCTGTATGAACAAATCCTAAAACAGAAGTGATCATTCAGAAACTGTTCAAATTATACTGTTTTATTGTGTGCAGCACACATGAATATATTATAACAAATCCCACTGTTATGTATAATTATAATAAGCCAATAAAAATGATTATTCAGTTGAAGAGAGGAGACACTAAGATATTTGCTCAATTTTGAAAAAATGAATTTGCACCTGAAAATGAGATGAATAAACCTTGTTTTGGAGATACAGTTTTGCTATCAATTAAATAAACAATCTACAATTTTACTCACTTTAACTCAATGAACATTTACTGAACACTAAAATATATGATCTCCAAGTATACGGCCAAACTCTTAGCAAAATGTAAAGATAAGCTCATATATGTCATGGATGGATACAGACATGAATAAAACAAAATTCCATTCCTTTGGAAACCTATAATTCATGGAGGAAACAATCACTTATATACACAATTATGGTGTAAGGAAGTCTGGTGAATATCCTTATAGTGGTATAAATAAAAGGCCACAGAAATGATTAAATTTCACTTGAGTGGGAATAAGAGAGTGAGAAGTTGTGTTGAGGGAAGACAGGCATCACAAAAAATGGTCACATGAACCAATTGGCAATTCTGATAAGAACTAGTCAGTTCCATTTGCTATGGCCAAGATAACTGATGATTAGAAAGTCCAAAGTTTCCAATACATGTATAAGAACAAAATCTGGTAGTCATCCAATTCCAATGTGAGTATACACACAAAAATCAAAATTTAAATTGGTATTGGTATAGGTATGCAATAAAGCTTGCACAGAACATTTAAAATATAAAGTTCCCAGTATAAAGTACTATATATTATATTAAGCAACCAATTTTAAATGATAACTGATATATTAAGGAAAAAACATAGATTTGTTAAGAAAATATAAGATTAATCTGAGACATACAACTACATGTTACTAATAAAATGCTTAACCCACAATCAATATTTTATATAGTACTCAATCTTTTAGGTTTTTAAAAAGAAAGTAAATATTAATCTACATGAAAGCAACAGTAGTTAGCAGTAGTTAGGTTACAAAAAATAGATGGACTAAAAATTAGATGTGCTACATGATTGTTCAGTGTGCAATCTTAAAAATATAGTTTTCAAATTGGCTTATGTTAAACTAATCATACATAAAATCAACCTAAATATAACTGTCATTGAAAGTACCATAATAAATGTGAATTAAATACTGTCTTAAGAATCAATTAGGCCACTAGTTTATTATACAGACCTATGAAATTTACTTCAGGTTTTAACTTAAAAATAGCTAATATTTTCTTAAAAGTGTTGTAAGAAATAATCATAGATTTACTATCATGAAGTCCATGACAGTGTCCGATTATTAGGGAAAACCTAGAAACAAGTTAACAACAAACTAGTTAAATAAATCATTATATCCACATAATAGAAAAATATGCAGGTATTAACAAATGATGCTATAGAATAATATAAAATGAATGAAAATTGTATATTTAAAGAAAATCATACATGAACTCAGTTATATCACTATTAAAAACAGTGGCACACACCTGTAATCCCAGAGGCTCGGGGGGATAAGGCAGGAGGATCGCAAGTTCAGAGCCAGCCTCAGCATCTTAGTAAGACCCTAAGCACCTTAGCAAGATGGTGTCTCAAAATAAAATATAAAAAGGGCTGGGGATGTGGCTCAGTGGTTATAAGTTCCTAGGCTCAATTGGTATCCCCCCCCCCAAAAAAAAAATCTAATATATACTATTAACTAAGAAACTATGTGCCAAAATAGTGGTTATCATTAGATACCAGAATTACAAGTGAGGAGTATTTTCTTTGTACTTTTGGGTTTTTTTCAAGTTGTCCACAAAAATACATATTATTTTTGCATTCATACAAAAAGCTTTCAAATAGCAAGGTACAGTGCTTCATGCCTATAGTCCCAGCCACCCAGGAGGCTACGGCAAGAGGATTGCTTGAGTCCAGGAGTTCAAGACCAGCCTAAGTGACACACCCTGTCTCAAAAACAGTTATGAAAAAAATATATGTATACAATACTAATTTCAGATGGTCTGTAATAAGGGCCAAAAATAACAAAACTAATTTAGTATTATTTTGTGTTTCAGTGAGAGATTGTATTGTGGAATAAAAAACTCTTCTGCCACAAAATTTCATCACATGTATTTGAAAAGTTAGCAATATTATTTTCATTTCTTTCATCAAGAACAATGAAAGAAAGGAAGAATAAAAGGAGAAGCAGAGCCAGGCACAGTGATAAACGCCTGTAATCCCAGCAGCTCAGGAGGCTGAGACAGAAGGATTGCGAGTTCAAAGCCAGCCTCAGCAATGGTGAGGCACTAAGCAACTCAAAATACAAAATAGGGCTGGGATGTGGCTCTGTGGTCAAGTGCCCCTGAGTTCAACCCCCAGTACCAGAAAAAAAAGTGGGGGGGGGGAACAGTTGACACAGCTAATAATTAGCTTCTACAGAATTTCAAGGGAACTGTAAATGAAAATTAATTTACAGTGAAGAGTCATAACAAACAATATGCCATCCAATCATGTTAAGAACAATATGATGAGGGCTCTTGATATCCAAAGTTTTCAGTGTTTGAACACACTTACTTTCCAAGGTGCCTCTCCCTGACTTATGAACAGATAGTATCCTAGAAAGAAAACTCACATTTATTGAATAAATTCAAATTATGAATAAAAATAAAAAGTCTATATAAATTTTCTTAAAATTTGTGATACAGTTATCCTTTAGTCTAAGGTCTTTTTGAATTCTAATAAAATTGGCATAGAATACTTCCCAGCAACTACAAACTCTCAGCAGAAAAATCAATTGTATGTTTTAACCTAACATGAACAGTAGAAATGATTTGCAAGAAAGATCTTGTGAACACAGGTTAGCAAATTCTAGCTTCAACTTCTAACTGGCTCTGGTAGCATTTTGTCAAAAGCAGCATTTTGTGGTAAAAAGGCCAATGGATTAGGACACATTAAGCAAGATTCTGTTCCACAGTATTAAAACTATGGCCTGAGGAAGTTATGTACTGTCTAAAATGTATGGCTGTTTTCTGTGCCCTAATGAATGAAGTCAATTAAAACTAACAGATCTCTGAGCTTTCTTTTAGCTCTACTACTCTGACTGAAAGATGAAAAGTAAGCCTCATTAAGCAGTTTTCATGACTTGCTAACTTTACTTGAAGTTTAGGAAACTGAGCTCTCCTAAAAGGACCCTCAGTTCTTGACACTATTAGGTGTACAGCAGTTAGAACAGTTCCAATTCAAAAAGAACAAATGCTAATCTGAGTTTTCATCTATGCTGTCCTGAAAGGAACTGATCTGCCCTGCTTCTTAGTGAACATCAGTTCTGATGTTTGTCCTTTTGGAAACGAACAGTAAGGCCCCACAACCTATGACAGGCCATTTGAAGGAGTTTCTACCTTGAAAATAAGCATATCTAGAACAAGGAATGAGGAACTGCAGGCAAACTTTACACAAAGAGGCTTAGGCAATGAGACAAGTTCATGGACAATCCCAGTGAAGTGGAAAGATGATCTCTTCAACACAGACTGTGGTTCTCAAAAACAATTACACAAGCAAAATACAGAGAACAGCCAAAGGATGACAGCTTAAATCCTTGAATAAGGTCTTGAAACTTTGAATGAGGTCTTTTAATAGTCTACATTCGGTTGCAAATCACAGATATGGTCTGTGTCTATTTAGGTGAGATCTCTAAATAAGAGTGGTACTCTCAGTCCAGCATGATTACAAGTTCAGAACTGAAATCATGGTGTTCAGCCACCCACATCATAGGAAGATTCTCCCTGCACTTATTCAAGCATGGAAGATAGGAATGTTATTTCATTAGAGGAAACTAACCACAGCTTCTACTCACCTATGCACAAATACGTGGAATAACAAATCTCGTGGGATAGCTCCTAACCATCAATGAACACTGTAATAAAAATCTAGAAGTAGTCAGGAACAGTGGCACACGCCTGTGATCCCCAGCAGCTCAGGAGGCTGAGGAAGGAGGATCACAAGTTCAAAGCCAGCCTCAGCAACTTAGCAAGGCCCTAAACAAGTTAGTGAGACTCTGTCTCAAAATAAAATATGAAAAGGGCTGGGGACCTGACTCAATGGTTAAGCACCCCTAGGTTCAATCTCAATACCAAAAAAAAGTCTAAAAGTAAAGTGGGTAAGTAAAGAGAGGCCAAGTTGATAGGAAGGGATAAATCCATACATCAATACATACTGGATTTTCCCTCTTAGATTACGTTTGATATAAAGGACAAAAACATGTCAAGACTTTCTTTCATCATTATTGACAGCCTTTTCTAAATAATAGACTTTATTTTAGAACAACTGTAGGCTTATAGAAAAACTGAGCAGAAAGGACAGGAAGTTATATCTATAAACCCCCTTATCACACTGCCCTCCCCAATTTCCCCTATTATTAACATCTTACCTTAGTGTTAATTGAACCAACTAGTTGAACCAATATTGATAAGTAAAATCCATAGTTTTACTTCTGGGTTCACTTCTTAGGTTATACAGTTCTACAGGCTTTGATAAATGCATGTCATGATATCCACCATTATATTATAGTATCATACAGAATAGTTTCACTAAAAGCCCTAATCTATCTGCAGCTTTTTAAACCTCATTTATCTATCCCAGCCCATCTGAAATAAAAGCAAAAATGTGAAGCTAGTCTCTAATGATAAGTTACTCTGGGCTCTACCTACCAAATATGACAAGGTAGACCATGGTTGGAGGAAGTAGATAAACAGGAGTGCTCCTTAAGGGCTTATATTTTGTCCTTGACGAGCAGAGCTCACGCTCCTTCTGGTTACCTGTCCTGAATTGCTTTCCTCTGCCACTCCCTTTTACCATAGTGTTCTGCCTCCCCTTCAATACATCATTTTATACTGAACTCATAAACTATGATCCTCACTCATAAATATATTCACAACCTAAGACATGATATAAAAGAAACTTCCTGGGTTCTATACCACATACACAGGCCTGAGGAGAGATATGAGTAGTCCTTAAACATCCCACACATCTATCTTTGTTCTTGTATCATTTCTAGTTCATGCTTTCTTTCTGTGCACCAAAAGACTCTCTCCAATCTTTCACTTTTAATTTGTAAAATTCTAGGAATTTTGTTATACTCCCCCTTTTCCAAGGCAAATACTACAGTGACTTTCAAGCTGAGCTATAAAAAGTATACACTACCAGTAGGTGCCACTGTCCAACAAATGATGTTGCTGCATTACTTTACTGAACAGAAGTTTCCAACTGGCTACAAAACAATCATTCCTTAAATCAGTAAATTGATAACTGAAATGACAGGCCCTCAACCAACTAAGAACATTTCCATTTTAGTACTATAGATTTAATGATATACCCAATACACCTTTGCAGGGTGCTGGGGATTGTGCACAGGCTTTGCACATGATAGCCAAGTGCTCTAATACTGAGCCACACTCCCTACACAAAACTTTTTTTAACATGAACTCTTCAGGAAGAGAACTACTGTTGCTCATAAAAACTGCATGGCCCTTGTCCAATGAGAATTTACATTTCATAAATTCTGAGGGAAACATATTTCATACATCCACTTCTGACTAGCCACATAGCATAAATAAACAGCAACATCTCATTTCCATATTACTAAGTCACTATTTCAATTTTTGACATGTTTATACACAACAAACTTTATATTTAAATTAGATACCAGGATTTTATCTATCACCAGTATAGTCTGAGTGCCCTTATCAGAAATAGTTAGAGCCAGTGACAGGCACCATGACACAACCCTGAAATCCCAGCTACTCAGAGGCTTAGGCAGGAGGAAGCAGGTTGGAGGCCAGCCTCAGCAACTTAGTGAGTCCTTGAATGCCACATAAAAAAATTAAAAGGGTTGGGGATATAGTTCAGTGGTAGAGCACCCTACCCCAGAGTACTGAGGGGAAAAAAAAACACCTCAGACCAGAAGTATCCCAAATTTTAGATTTCTTCAGATTTGGGAATCTTTGCACAAATGTGAGACACCCTGGGAATGGGCCTCAAGTTTAAACAAGAAATTTGTTTGTTTCATATACACCTCATACACATCCTGTAATAATTTTATAAAATGTTGTTGGTGCACTCATACTTTGACTGCAACTGATCAAACGACATTGTGTGGAACTTTTCCACCATTTCAGCACTCAAAAAAGTTTTAAGTTTTGGAGCACTTCAGATTAGGATCCATAACCCATATTATCAAGTGTGGGATGTGGCACTATATAACAGACCTAAAAGTTCAGATGTCCATTCTCTGCCGTAAGTTTCTAGGATCTGAAAAGAACTCAACCCTAGACACTTCTATAAGGAAGAAGAAACAAGGGTCTTGCCAAAAACTAGATCAAGATTTTAACCAGAACAGGGCTAGGGCTATAGCTCAGTTGGTAGAGTGCTTGCCTAGCACGTGTGAGGCACTGGGTTTGATCCTTAGCACCACATAAAAATGAAATAAAGGTACTGTGTCCATCTGCTATAAAAAAACATTTTTTAAAAGATTTTAACCAGAACAAATTTGCATGTCTTACTGTTATGCTTATGGGTGGAACGGTGTAAGAAATAAACACCAAGCAAAATAGCACCTAAGAGCACCCAGAGTAACACCTGCTCTGAGCAGACGTCATGCTTATGCATGTGTTTGTCAACAAGATCATCTCTAAGTGGTAAATACAAAAGCTCTCCAACTTAAAAAATAACAGTAGCAAAACACTTAAGCACCCTATAGAAATAAATTCAATGTATCATTACTTGTCAAATTAAAAAGGCATAGATCCTCCAAGCCTTGGCAATTCTATTTTCCAGATTACAATCATTCACTTGCAAATATGCAAGATAAATTATGCCCAAATATTGTCACTGCATTTTTAGTTGTAAAAGAAAAAGATCAGAAGCAACCTAAATGTCCATCAAGTGGCAATAGGTTAAACAAGATAGGTATATCCCCTAAAACATTACTGGGGTACACCTAATTAAAAACAGACACTATGATCTTTTAGTTCAGCCATTAAAAGTGATGATGCAGCAATCACAAAATTCCAACTATTTTAAGATTCCATGTATATAAAATGTCCAAAATAGGCCAATCTATAGAGATAGAAAGTAATTTAAGATTGCAAGGAGCTGGGGAAACTGGAGAGAAATGGGGTATACCACACTTCCCTAACACTCTTTGTATACAAACTGGATTCCCACTATTTAGCCTATTGTCTTGACAATTAATTCACTCTAGACAAAATTAAACCATCCTTCTTCAGCATTTCCACTGCACCATACATATATCTTTACTTTCAGTTCATCACGATGTTGTAATTATTTGTTTATATGCCTGTCTTTCCCAAGATGCCTAGCTCCCTGTGATGGAAATACTTATCTTTGAAACTTCAGGAACTAACACAGCCCCTGCACACAGGAAGCCACTTCAGGAAGTTTGCTGCATGAGTTATTGTGACTTAGAAACACTTGCATTACCCCTACACTATACAGCTTTTAAAACATCATGAAGCAGAATTCACTTTTCATTGCCTACACTATTCACAATCCTGAAAAGAAGCAGATATATGTAGTTGCAAATCAAAAATAATTTATACCACAGATGATTATCTAAGCTAATACTAAAATCAATCAGCTCACATAAAGCACACACAAATCGAAAGCAATGCCAAGATAATGAAATAAAAATGCAACTTTTGGGATTTTTTCAAAAAATGGGTGCATCTGATTTATAGTCAGTTATCAAATGTTCATGGATTTGGAATGTCTGAATTTAGCAAGTCTTTGTGCCTAAACAATGAACTGGGATAAAGGACACTAAAAGGATTAACAGGTCATTTTGATAAATCAGGGATACCTGCTGCTCAACATCAAATGTCAAATAAAACGCCAACTCTAGGGTCAAAGCTGGGGCCATTAGTGACTGCAAAGGGAAAGATCTGCTGCAGCCCACTTTTTCTCACAAAAACAAGTGACCCAAAATAAACTTTTTTACATAAGTAATGAATTCTTAAATATTTATAGAAAACTAAGACAAAGATTTCAAGGCTAACTGGCAAAGGTATATGAAAACACTCCATTTATTCAAATAAACACTTAACAAAAATCTAGCATGACCGCTAATAAGTGATAACGTGGATCTGAGTTTTAACACCTTTTTACTATACTCTTCACTAATCTAGGCAATTTTATTAATTAGTAACTTAACAAAATATAAAGGTAAAAGTAAAAAATTGGAATGGTCCAGGTAATTTATGTAGACATAGTAGCAAAATAACTTCAATTTTTTAATATTATAAGGGAAATCTTAGGGGACTTTAAAGTTTTCCATAAATTAGTAATGCAATTAGGTAAGTCACTCCAAATCCTAGGCTCAGTTTTCTAAACTATAAAACTGCCTAGAATAAGTGATCTCTAAGATCCTCTTTACCTTAAGTTGTTCCATAATTAGTATAATTTTTTAAAAATACATATTCTAAATAAAATATGAAATACAAGGATTTTTTTTTTCTTGTCACCAATTCATTACTTGATTCTTTTCACAATCATCTCAAAACCACTCTACCCAGATGGCAATCAATCACTACTCATAGATGGACAAATTAATGGCTTCTCTAGAAAACAAAAATAATAAAGTTATTTTAATAAAACATTTTGGGGGTGGGGTTGTGGTTCAGTGGTAGAGTACTAGCATGTGTGAGGCACTGGGTTTGATCCTCAGCATCACATAAACGTAAATAAAATAAAGATATCGTGTCCATCTACAACTAAAAAAAAAAATTTTAATAAATAAATAAAAAGTTTTTACTGACCTGGTGCAACTACATTCACTCTAATTTTCTTTCGTGCTACCTCTTTAGCAAGTGCACGTGAAAATCCAACCAATCCTCCTTTACTGGCACTATACACAGACTGGCCAGAATTGCCTTTTAAACCGATAATACTTCCTACAAGAAAAGAAAGTAAGCAAATTCAAACTAATTCATAGGAATTATATAAAAATTCAGATAATTTATAGTAAACAAATAAAAAAAGTAAAACCCATTTTACCTTATCCTTTACTCACATTAGTAATTCTACCCACTGTCATTTGAGTAGTAAGACTTTAAGAATCCAAGTATGCTCCAGACAAACACAGAAAACAAGATCAGAATGAAGTTGGTGTAAAACCACAAGCGCCAAGTAGGAGGCTTGCAAGCCAATCTAGAATGCAGAGCATTCCAATCTCTGAGTAGGTCAGCTATAATGAAAATTCTGTGGCTTATAATGGCTTCCAGTAGGAAGAGGTTGAAGCCAGAAAAAGTCTAATTAATTTTACCTTTCTACAACTAGACATAAAGAAATACTTACTTCTACCTAAATCCATCTGAAGATAAATCTCACTAAATTAGAACTACAGTTGATCTAAACTTACCAGTTCCACTTCAATTATAACTTTTCATAAATGTGCAACTTTGTTGCTTTCAGTGATATAACTTGTACTGCCTACTAAAGATTCTTAGGTGTGGGAGACCAACCTTGCACATGACTGGGTCACACTCCCTGGCTGGGTGCTGAGGTGCTCAGACACAGAAATGTGGCAGAGCTTTCCCCACCTTTCTTGGGTTCGAGGGTCGGTGTCTCATGCATGGGTGTGTCTTGCTACAGCACCATGGGTAAAGCTATGCTCACCTGTTCCTTTGTAATATAACCCCTTGCCCTCTTTAGGATAGAATCTTCCATGAAAGTGTCTTGTGTGTCCCCTTCTCTTACTGTGCCCTAGGGTGTGGCCTACCCAGTTATCAGTCAACCTGCTGATAGCGGACATCATGAGGACAGACTCAGCCCCCTGCAACCTGACACCTTGCCTCATTTGAATAGCTTCTCCTCAATAAAAGGGGTCAGCATGTGCTCTTGCTCTCTCTTCCTGCGGACCCTTAAGGTCAGAGAAGCCGTCACAGCAACCCTAAAGAAAAAGGTATTTGTGTCTCTTGTGTGGTTATTTTACGCAGCCCAGTCAGCCCAATTCAACTGGAGTGACCCCTGAGGCTTTTAGTCTGGAGAACAGAAACCTGGCACTTAGGTGACTTCATTTAAAGAATATGTAATTTATATTTATATAAGTCATAAATTATATTATTTATAATTCAAAATATCAGCTATATGCAAATAACTGCTTGCAAAACAGAAGTAGGGAAGTAATTTTCTGCACCACTGACCTGTATTTATGATACAAAAATTAAATAAGCTCCAAAAATTTTTAAGTAATTTTACTTTAGAAAAAGAAAACATCACCAGGGGCAGTGGTGCATGCCTATAATCCCAGTGGCACAGGAGGATCCTGAGTTCAAAGCCAGCCTCAGCAACTTAGTGAGGCCCTAAGCAACTCAGCAGGACCCTGTCTCTAAAGAAAATGTTAAAAAGGGCTAAGGATGGGGCTGGGGATGTGGCTCAAGCAGTAGTGTGCTCGCCTGGCATGCATGCAGCCCTGGTTTGATCCTCAGCACCACATACAAAACAAAGATGTTGTGTCCGCCGATAACTAAAAAATAAAATTCTCTCTCTCTCTTTAAAAAAAAAAGTGGGGGGCGGGGCTAAGGATGTGACTCAGTTGTTATGAGCATCTGGATTCAATAGCTGGTACCCAAAAGAAAGAAAGAAAAAATCCACTTTTTCTATTATAATCAAATCCAATATTAAAAATTTACCTACATTATACAGTCATGTATCGCTTAATGACAGGCACATACAGAGTAACCACTGTTAGGTGATTTCATAGTCATGCAAACATCACAGAGTTCACTTACACAAAATAAGATGGTAGAGTCTACTACACACCCCAAGCCTCATGGTATAGTCTATTGCTCCTAGGCTACAAACCTGTACAGCATGTTACTGTCCTGAATACGGCAGGCAATTGTAAAGTATTTGTGTAATGATAGTATTTTGTGTATTTAAACATACCTAAAGATAGAAAATGTAAAGTAAAAATACCAGGAAATATGAATTTTTCACTTCCTGTTATGGTTTGGATATAAAGTGTCCCCTGAAAAGCTCATGTTAGACAATGCAGGAATGTTCAAAGGTCTGAAAGTGTGTCACTTTAACTTCTGCAAATTTATGCAACTACTACAATAATTGTTGTTTACTACCCAGTGTCCACAATTTTTTTAAATTCTTTGTCCATATTTTTCTTAATATTTATTTTTTAGTTTTCGGCGGACACAACATCTTTGTTTGTATGTGGTGCTGAGGATCGAACCCGGGCCGCACGCATGCCAGGCGAGTGTGCTACCGCTTGAGCCATATCCCCAGCCCCCTTTGTCCATATTTTTAAAATTAGGCTTCACATAAAAATTTAAATTAGGCTTTGCATAAAAATTAGGATGCCCAATTTCTCTTGAAAAATCAAAATTATTAGCAAAACTGGAACCACATTCATGCACACCAAAAATCGACTAGATCTGAACACCAACTGAACCTAAATGTCTTCTGTCATTTATCACATGACCTCTACTGCCACTCTCTAATAATTGGTGGTCAACATCCGCCTGCCCCATCAGGATGTGAATTTGTGATTCCTGTTTTACTCACTGATTAGCTAATTAAATCTTTTCCAACAGATAATACAAAGATAAATTTCATAAGTGAAAGTTACAAATTAGTGGATTAAATATGCTTATGGTAATACACAATAATTATAAACCCACAAAGATAAAAACTCACCTACATTAACAATAGACCCTCCCTGTTGTTGAATCATAGTCCTCATGGCAGCTTTACAAGTCAGCATAGAACCCAAGAGATTAGTATTAAGTTGAGATATCATATCTTCGGTTTTTGTTCTTACTAAAAGACTATCCCTACAAAAAATAAACAGCATGTAAATTAATAACAATTTTTTTAAAGTCAAGACATAGGTAACATTTTGATGGAAAGAGTGTAAGATGTTCTTCATATCTGAGATAGAATGCCTAGAGGGTACTATTTTGACCTTGGTTTGTGAGCCACTAAAATAAACGATAAGCTTTTAGAAATGATCCACTTGGAAGGTAGTTTCTACCCATTTCAGTTAAAGTGACAAACATTCCAAATTGCTAAAAGTAGTACCATGTAGACAAAATATTTTGAATAGCCTAAGCAATTGCCATACTAAGCCTTGTTTAGCAAGACAATTAGTATATTATTCTAAATTCATCTTTTTTTATAAAAGAATGCCTACCCTATAATTCCATCAGTTCATATACTCCCCCCACAAAAAAAAATACACGTATACACATACATACACACACACACACACACACACACATGGTGACAGAATTCAGAATACTGGTTAGCTATGAGGAAATAGAAGAAACAGCCTTCAGAGTTACAGAAACATTCAATAGCTCAATATTGATGAGGATTAAAATATTAAAACTGATCAAACTAGACACTTATTTCAATATGAAACAAAAGAATGTATGGAAAAGTTTTAAAACACACACTTTTTCTTATAAGTAAAACAACTAATACATTAATTGATACTAATCAAAAGCCTAAATGGGTTAAAAAAAAAAAAAACTTTTAAGAAATTTACTTAAATCTATGACCAACCTGTTAATACCAGCTGCATTTACCAAAAAATTTACTTGACCTAAATGTTTCTCCATCTCTTCAAATGTATGTTGAACATCATGTTCTTTAGCAACATCACAGCTAAATGCTAAATGATTTCCTACAAAACAAAGTTACATTAGAATTAATTATAACTTAAATTTTGAATCTACACAGTACACATTTGTTAATCCCCTACTACATGGTAGGTTTGTGCTAACCCTAGAGATAAAAGATAAATATTTCATAGGTTCCTGCTCTCACTTGTCAAATTAAACTGGGATGGGTGGGCAGGGAACAAGAAAGTAATATAACAAAAGTTGATTTGAAAACTTTGGAAAGTTTTGTTGTTTTTTTGTAGGGCACAGTTGCACACACCTGTAATCACAGCCCTTCTGGAAGCTGAGGAAGATAGCTTGAGCCCAGGAGTTCAAGGCTAGCCTGGGAAACAAAGAAATCTTGGTTTTTTGGTTTTTTTTTTTTTAACTGCGGATTGAACCCAGGGCCACTTTACCTCTTTCCATGCCCATCCCTTTTTATTTTGAGACAGTTCCCTCACTAAGTTGCTAAAGCTAACCCTGAACTTCAATCCTTCTGCTTCATCGTCAGGGGTCACTTACATTACAGGCATGTGCTACAGCACCTGGCTAAGAGATCCTGGCTCTTAGAAAGATTGTTTTTATTTTAAAAAATAAAACTTTGTTTTGAATCTATAAAATTGTGGGATCATTTTTCAAGTTTGCAGTGCTTTGTTAAGATTCATAATAATGTTTATAGCTTTAACACTAAACCTGTTATGCCTAATTCAACAGTCTTCTGGGTTCATACTCCTTGTTTGAAACTTATGTTTAATTCTTTAGGTTGAATTTGTTTCTTTAGTCCTGAGGATAAACTCCAAGGTTTCTTTTTTGTTGTTATTTTTTAAGCACTAAAAATAAACTATTTTTATACATATATAATATATATAAAAGCCTGACCATCAGTATAGATGAGACAACAAAGAAAGCCATAAAAAGAGCTAAAACTACAAATCATTTTTACTAAAAGTAATTATTACCTCTCAAAAATAGCCACTTTTCAAAAATTGTTTAAATGCCAAAAAATCATACTTCAAAGGAAAATAAAATATTCCCTACTTAATAATGTATTTTAATACATGTTCCTTGATTTATGATGGGGTAACATCTAGATAAGCCCATCATAGGGTGAAAATATCATAGGTTGAAAATGCATTTCATGCACCTAACCTATCAAACAGGAAGCTAAGCAATACTGTACACTGCAGAGTATGGGGTGTCTCCCCTCCTGACTGCATGGCTGCCTGGGAGCTAAGGATTGTTGCACTGCCCAGCATCAAGAGAGTATCATCCTGCATATCAGTAGCCTGGGGTAGATCCCAATTCAAAATTGTTTTGTTTTTTGAAACAAGTTCTCACTCATTTGTTAGGGCCTGGCTATGTTACTGAGGCTGGCCTTGAACTTGTCATCTTCCTGCCTCAGCCTCCTGAGCCACTGGGAGTACAGGCTATGTGCCATTAGGCCCAGCCATTTCAAATTTAAAGAACTGGTTTCTTTCTTTCTTTTTAATAGTTGTACACAATACCTTTATTTTATTTATTTATTTTTATGTAGTGATGAGGATCAAACCCAGGGCCTCACACGTGCTAGGTTCTACTGTTGAGCCACAACCCCAGCCTGAAAGAACTGGTTTCTACTGAATGCACACCACATTGTCAACTCAAGTATATCTATACTCTAAATGGTGCAATTTTTATAAACTAAAATAATTGCTTATTTTCTGCCTGATTTTGCCAAATATGTATACACTAACATTATCCCCTCATGCCTTTGGGAACAGTAAGACACCTGGGAAAAATCACACTTTACCAATGAAAATCAATCACTTAGGGAACACATGATTCAAGGAAATGAAATGCCCAAAAGCATCACCTGTCTCACTCCTGGCTTTCATGTGAAGACTTATTGGTCCACAATTATCCTCTAAAACTCAACTAATGGTTTTTAATCTAATCAGCAAACACCGATAGTTTAACCCAGCAAGGAGCACCACTTTTTCCCTCCTTGGTCATATACTGGCAATGAATATGAGCTGAAAGACTTCTTTCTTTCATGGAAATTCTCCAGTTGTAATTTTAGAAAGCCAAGTATTTTCCCAAACTAAGGAAACAAAGAGTCTGAGCTGGTGGTACCAAACCTATCAGCAACTTCTTTTAAAAACAAAACACAAAACTTAACACCCCCAGGATTCTATTCCTCCCAAAGCCTTCCTGATAATAAGTTACTAGTATTCTTCTCTCTTCTACTAATTGGTTCTGTCTTAGTATCTTCAAACCCTCAGACGTCATTTTTACCCTTACCATCAAGAGACTTAAGTTTGAAAAATAACTGACCCGTTAATAAGAAAAAAAAATTGAAGGTAATAATAAGGACTGAGTCAAACAAATTCCAATTATTTACAAAATTCACAAAAAAGGGAATCAATGGCTTAAAATTCTTAATAGATGTAATAAAGCAAACCAGATATATCTCAAAACCGGCTGGCACCCAAAAGGGGTTTTCTCTGATGCACTGCTTTGGGCATTCGCATAGGGGCAGGAACAGCTCTCGGAAAAACCAAAGTGAGCTTTTCCTACCTGGCATGTCTACCTCTCCAGACTTAACCCTGTAGCTGACCCCTGCATAACTTAACTTTAAGTGTAGAGTTGCTTTCTCCTACCAGATGCCAAAACAGAGCTCCTCACTACTAGCAAAGGCTGCAGGAAAATGAAGGCTTGTACTAACAAGACTGCGACTTCTTAGTAAAATCCCCCAGCGCCCAGCCCTGGGCGGCAGGTGGCGTTGAGGTGCGAGCAGGTAGGGGTCTGCACAACAGGTCTATCCTAGGGACCCGCGGCTGAATCACCAACCCTCAGAGTCGCTTGTGTTACACACGAAGCTTCAGCCCTCGGGACTGCAGTCACGCAGCTGAACAAGCTCGGTACCTACCGCCGAGGTCACCTGCGGCGGCTTTGGCCACTTCCAGATTTCTGGCGATGATCGCCAGTCGGTAGCCTTTCTGGGCCATTAACTGGGCTACTGCCCTGCCAATACCCCGGGAACCTCCAAAAATAGCGCACACTTTGTTCATCTTGAACCCGTAAGTCGAAAACTTGGCTGGGACCTGCCGCCCTTCTCCAGAGAACCTCGGGCTTTTAAAAAATAAATAAGTAAATGGATAGATAGATAAAGCCAGGCCAAAGAACAACAGCCCAGCAGACGCGAGCTCCAGCCCACAGACTCTGGCAATTTAAGAAGCCGGGAAGAGTACGATGTAACGCGCTGACGTCAGCACGCACGCATCTCCGTCGTCAGCGTGTTGACGTCAGTACGCAGGATTCCCCAAAGCAGCGCCCTACTAGAACGTGGGCGACCGAGCGCGCGGCCGGCGGAAGACTGGCCCAGACGGGCTTCGGCTGCCTGCTGGGACTTGTAGTCTTCCCGCCCGAAGGCACGGCATGGGCGCCTGCTTAGTGGGAGGTGTGCTCAACTTGCTGAGGGACGCCTCTTTCCACCCTGGGAGGTGGGAATCTGGATTACAGCCCAGGTTACCACGCGTCCCAGTTTGCTCAGAACAGGGTTGTCAACAACATACTGGACTTTCCTCTGAAAAGAGTAGTGGATCGCCGAAGTGATCGAAGTTAGCACTATTGAGCGTGGATGTATCAGGGCTTCAGGTGTCTACCTTTCACCCAGGCTGCAGACTTTCACTTTGGCTGCAGACCTGATGTCCCCCCTGTGGAAGAAGTGGCTCACAGGTGTCGGACTCACGCCAAAACCTACCTACTCCTCCCCCAAGTTGGCCTTCCCACTGGCAGGCGTTATCATCCATCTCAAAGGATGCTGTGAGCATGAATGCCCTGTCAAAGAACACAGAAGGAGCTCAAGAAACTTTTATATCAATGAACGGTCTTCTTAGATGGATGAAACAAGGGTGCTATAGACAAAAATGGGTTCCTGGGGGTTTGTGGCACACGCCTGTATTCTAGCTACTCTGGAGGCTGAGGTAGGAGGATTGCAAATGTGAGACCAACATGAGCAAGTTAGTGAGACTCTCTTCTCAAAGTAAAAAATAAAAAGGGGTGGGGATTTAGCTCAATAGTAGATGCCCTCAGATTCAATCTCCAGGACCTCCAAAAAAGAGAGATGGAGGTCCTGCACCTTTAAATAAGAAGTGTTGAGTTCTCTGAGAGTTAATGAGCTTAAAAGGTGATTATTTATTACTAATATAGTGTAAAAAAAAAAAAAAAAAGGAAAGTTCTTGATACAAGGACAAGGTCATTGCACTAAATGTTTCAGAAAAGTATAAGCCATGGCCCCGGCCACCAAAAAACATACAACTTGCTGCAACAGAACTAATACACGGGCTGGGGATGTGGCTCAAGCGGTAGCGCACTCGCCTGGCATGTGTGCAGCCGGGTTGGATCCTCAGCACCACATACAAAACAAAGATGTTGTGTCCGCTGAAAACTAAAAAATAAATATTAAAAAATTCTCTCTTTCTCTCTCTCTCTAAAAAAAAAAAAAAAAGCAACCATTTAAAAATAAAAGGAACTAATACACATGAAAACTAAGGAGTAAAACCATAATTAGTAAAGTGCAAACTTATATTAACACAAGAACTCAGAAAAGGGTCAATGAAGAATAAAAGGGTGCATGGAAAAGCTGGATTTGAGGGCTGGATGAGGTTTTAAAAAAAGGAAATAAAGAGCAAAAGACTAATAAGCAAGTTGAGCATTTTTAAAAAGCTTTTTTTTTTTAATTCCAAAAAGGATTTGAAATGGTTTGCAAGAACACAGAGTAAGTTATTATAAAACGCACTGCTCCTTCTTCCCCAAGTTAAGACAATAAAGTGAGGTCAGTAGAAAAATTTAATTCAAATAAAGTCATGCTAGATGAATCTATTTAGGGCTGGAGTTGTAATTCAATGATACAGCACTTTCCTAACATATATGAAGCCCTGGGTGTGATACCCAGCGCTGCAAATAAATAAAGAGAATATAGTAAGTACTAGAGGAGAGATGCACATGTGACTCTGAATTTCCTAGTGGTCAAAGTAACAAAGGAAATATAATTAATTACACATAGCAAATTTCTAGAAGAAATAAACATCTTGGTTATGCAGCAGAAAGGTCTGAGCAAAATTCCCTCTTCATGGATCCCCTAAAAGGGCATAATACTCTTGATAGTAGAAAATGCTCTTCATGGAAAATAAAAAAGACTGTAAGGCTATTTTTATAGCATCTAATATACTTTATTATAAAGCAAATACCATAATTAAACAATATAAGCAAACTTTCATACACAAGAATGAGTCTTTGTATGCCTGATTACAGGAAAGGCAAGATGGTGCTGGGTTATTGCCGCAGTCCGGCTGCAGCAAAATAACGTGGGGGGGGGGGTGACAAGCAACTTGTGTAGATTGATACAGCAGGAGTGGGAGCCCTTTATTGTAGGATAACAGAGGTATTTATACATTCCACACAGCTTATCTAATTAACATAAACTTGATACAGCAGTCAACCAATAAGGAATCTCCACACTTAATGGCTCCCTGGCGTTACTTCACAAACCACTCCCTCTGGCAAAATGCCAGGCGCCATCCAGACTTGTTTATAGACTCTAACATTTCCCCCTTTTGTTTAATTTAAATAACAACCATAGTGGTTTTTACACAAACAGCACAAACAATCTGCTACAAGCAGAAGGGGAGGATACAAAATGCCACAATACCAAGCCAATTGATGGCTCCATGCAAGAAGCCCTTGGAAAAATTACACCAGCAATGACACCGTTAGCAAAGATACCGAGTTATAATTTGTTGTAGATTACAGTTTGTCTCAGTCCAGGTAAAGCAGTGTCTCAATAGATTAACTCACAGTCCAGGTAAATCATAGTCCAGGTAAGTTCTGCAGGCAGCTAGCTTAAATCACAGTCCAGGTCTCAGCGGAAGTTTCGTCCGGTTCTCAGCAACACTGGAAATTCTTCCACCCTCATCGTCACCGGCACTGGGATGAAGGCAGGAACTCCAGCAATGATGCTAAAGAAAATCTTATAGTATTCCACTAAGAAAACAACCTTCTGAACAATTTAGTATATTATCTCAAGGTTTTTTACATTTGAAATAAGCCTTAATAGTGCTCATTACTCATCAGCCTCCAGGTGTGGGAGAACCATTGTAGCTTATTTATTGGCATTGAAAATGACCAAACATCAGGGACACGGGTAGCGTCTTTTGCCAGCTACAGCGTCCCAGGCAGCCCCAGATGGCCCTGGGGAGAGTCCCGGTCTCAAACTGCTTCTGGGCACAGGGAGCAAGAGCCTGCGAGACTGTACCTCCGGGTCAGGTCTGGATTTGGGCTCTCGGTAGTGGCATCCCGCTCCCCGGGCGGGGGGCAGGGAAGAGCCAGCTGCCTCGGCTTGGAAATTCCTTGCTGCGCCTTGATCCGCTCGCGCACGTGGCAGCCACTGCATTGATTCACGCACCCTCCGGTAACGAAAAGTATTTAGTAATAGCCTTTTGCTGCAACTTTTTTCTTGATAATCTTTCTTCTTCTGAACTTTCTTTTTCTTTCTGACTAGAGTTCCTGGGCTTCTATCAACACATGTCTTAACTGCTCTTGGTTCCATTAGGGTGCCTTCTTCCCTTAGTGATTTACTTCTCACCCCTTCCATATTTTCATCACAAAGACAATACAACATTTCAAGACAAAACAAGACACAAACATACTGTATCAATCTTCTCCATTTTCTGGAAACAGGCTTTAAAGCCATATGCAAGATTTAAACTGGAGACTCTGTAGACCTTTAATTCCAGAAGTAAGGAAATAAAAACTACATTTAAGAACCATTAGACTAGCCATGATATCAGGATGGAGTAGAACAAATCTGAGACAGTTAAACCCCTCTCCCATTCTACACCTGTATGCAATCTTGGAAGGCAAAACTGTTCGAGATAAATTATCAACATAGGTGTCAGCTACATGCAGATTGTAATCCTGCCATCCAGCATTTTATGGTAAAGTAGAGAAGTTCAGTCTTTGAGGACAGTTCTGTCTGTTTCATAGGAAAGGGGTTACATTCTTTCCACACATTGATATTTTAACAAGACAATATGGTTTTTAGATCTGTGCCATCTGTCACAAAGATTATTAACACATAATATGAGGTGACATTCAGAATTCTCAAAATCTTCTTACTTTTCTCACTGTGTATATACAGTAAATGGAAAGGTTGAGTTTTTCTTTCAACAGTCAGTTTAAACCCCAAGGGTATAATTTTTTTCCCTGTTATACAATATCACTATTATCCTGGGTGAGAATAAACCCATCACAACATCTCGGCCCTTAGCTGGGACAGTTGTTGGCAGGGGAAGTTTTCCCCTAATTCCCTGATGGCAAAATAAGGGCTTGTAAATTAAACTGGGTCTCTCTTACCTAGCAGGACATCAACAAAAGCCATTAGAATGACCCACCTTTAATCTTCTCAGTAAACATATCACTTTTGTGGCAATATTTTGACCATATTTTATACTGTCTTTAATTTAAACCAACATTTTATCTTGGCTCTAATAATCAGAAGAGAAAGTGCCTTATATATCGGGACATTCTAAATGATTTATTTTTTTAAAAAAAATATTTATTTTTTAGTTGTAGTTGGACACAATACCTTTATTTATTTATTTTTATGTGGTGCTGAGGATCGAACCCAGGGCCTCACATGTGCTAGGCAAACACTCTACCGCTGAGCCACAACCCCAGCCCCTATATCAGGATATTCTAAAATTTTAAAATAGACTTTTATTTTTCTGATTAAAAAAACAAATATCGGGCTGGGGTTTTGGCTTAGAGTAGAGTGCTTGCCTAGCATGCATGAGGCACTGGGTTCGATCCTCAGCACCACGTGAAAATAAAATAAAGGTACTATGTCCACCTACAACTAAAAAACAAAATGTTTTTTTAAAAAAATCACCTCATTGCCAAAAATTAGAAAAAAACTAAAGCAAATAAGACTAATTGAAAGCATTGTACACTGTAAATGTGTGAACTATATGGCATGCAAATTACATATCAAAAGAACTGATATAAAAAATTTTTAATTGAAAGCCTACC